CTGATAGATATCTATTTAAAAAATAAAAAATTATATTTCTTTACAAAAATTTATAATATTTAAGTTAAACACTTCTATGTTCCCAAAGGTTTTATCAGCTTATATGTACGGAATGTGTCCGGGTTGTAATTACCCAGCTTTTTGACAACGGAATTTTCGGACTCCGCGTTTTTAATGTAGAATTTTTCTGTCAGTATATAAATGAATTCCTTTATTTTTGAAATATTATTTTTCTCATGAAGAAAACTTATTCTCGTTCTGAATCTTGCATTAAGAACCATTCTTAGCATTTTATTTTGCATTACTTGGAGTTTTCCAGGATGACTGTTTGCGCTATTAGCAAATGTAGGACATTCGTATGTTAATATGGGACGAATACATAATCTGTAAACAATTTCTTCTTTAAACTTTAAAAGTTGTTCATTGTTTTCCTTTTGGAAATCTGAGAGATGTTTTCTGATCCCTTCGTTAATTTGATTAATATTACATTGGTTCAAATGATCATCCTTCGTTTCTATTTTCTTTTGACATTTGGAGCTTACAGTTGGAATAATTTGCTCTATTTCAGTTTCATTTATTTCACCGTAGTAAAATGTTGAAGTTTTCAGGTTGATGCAAGGATTTGAGGATAAATCGAGCACTCGAAGTTTGGGGAACAATATTTTGAATTTCTTGAAAATTATCTCATCAATATGTATGAGCGAATTATTTGCTGTAAAAAAATAAAATTTTGACATGAATATGGAAAAACTGATGTTAACAGTTATACCCAAATGGAGTTCCTTCAATGATGACAAAGGCTGAAGTAGATCATAATCTAAGCTTTCTAGTTTGTTGTTACTTAAATGTAATTTGTTTAAATTTTCTAATCCGTGGAAGACATATCTGACCATATGAGTTATCGCGTTGTTATCTGTTAGGAGAATAAAGTTCATTTAGAAATTATTATCAAATACATTCAATAAATAATTGAATATGAAATATAGCAGCAAGGTGATATGAAAACAAAAGATATGTTTTAATAAAATTTGCTCAATCTAACCTAAATTAAGTATTCTCAGCGATGACAATGATGAAAACACTTCATGGTTTAATGTATCCAATTTGTTGTTACTTAAATACAATCCTTCTAGCTCGCCTAATCCGTGGAAGGCATTTCTTTCAATATGAATAATCGCGTTGTTATCTATTAAGAGATTAAAATTGGAACTTCAATAAATAATTGAATAGACATACAATATTGCAAGTTGGTTTGAAAACAAGGAATATATTTTATTAAAATGTGATAGAACTTACCCAAATGAAGATATATCAATGATGACAAAGATGCAAACATTTCATGATCTAATTTATCCAGCATGTTGTTACTTATAAACAATCTTTCTAACTTGCCTAATCCGTGGAAGGTATTCTTATCAATATGATTTATCGCGTTGTTATCTGTTAGAAAAATAAAGTTAGAATTTTTTGCATTGAAGCGATTTGAAGGCAAGGAATATATTTTATAAAAATATGATCAACGTTACTCAAATTAAAATATTTCAACGATGACAAAGATGCAAACATTTCATGGTCTAATTTGTCCAATTTGTTGTCTTTTAAATCCAATAACTCTAACTTGCTTAATTCGGGGAAGGCATCTCCATCAATATGATTTATCACGTTGTTATCTATTAGTAGATTAAAACAGGAACTATTCTCAATTAGGTTTATCAAATGATTGAATATAAAATATTGGAACAAGGCATTTGAAAACAAAGGATATATTTCATTGAAATGTGAACAATCTTACCCAAATTAAGTGATTCCAACGATGACAAAGATGCAAACATTTTGTGGTCTAATTTATCCAATTTATTGTTTTCTAAATGCAATTCTTCTAATTTGCCAAGTCCGTGAAAGGCATTTCTATCGATATGATTAATAGCGTTCGTATCTTTAAGGAGAATAATTTGGGAATTATTTTCTATTATCTCCAATAAATATTTGGATAAAATATTTCAGCAATGCACATTGAAAACAAAGAATATATTTTATTAAAATGTTAACAAACTCACACAAATGAAGGATTCTCAACGATGATAGAGATGCAAACATTTCATGATCTAATTTATCCAATTTGTTGTTTTCTAAAAACAATCTTTCTAGCTTATCTAATCCTTGGAAGGCATTTCTATCAATACGATTTATCACGTTGTTATCTATTAGGAGAATAAGGTTGGATTTATTTTCAAATAGCGTAACAAGGCGATTTGTAAACAAAAGATATATTTTGTTAAAATTTGATCAATCTCACCCAAGTTAAGTCTTCTCAACGATGACAATGATGCAAACATTTTGTGGTCTAATTTATCCAAGTTGTTGTTACTTAGATATAATCCTTCTAACTTGCCTAATCCGTGGAAGGCATTTCTGTCAATATGATTTATAACGTTGGTATCTATTCGTAGAATGAAATCGGAATTATTTTCAAAAGATTTAACTTAATGAGTAAATAATTACGCAGTTTTAAACTTTCTAATGAAATCAAATCTGAAAAGACGTTGCCTTCCAAATTTTCAAGTTGGTTATAGAACAAATATAAGTTTTTAAGTTTTGAAAGTCCGACAAAATTAGTTTTGTGAATCTCCTGAATTGAACATTCATATGCAAAGAATGACTGAAGGTTTGGAAATATTGTTGTAACGTTATCAGGCAAATATTTTGTATTTTTGTTTCTTATAAAATCCAAAGTTGAAATTTCATTATCACTTGGTTCAGAAATTATTTCTCCCTCTTCGCGAACTGCCTCATCAACATAACAAGCAAAAGCTTGGTCGTTCTTCATTTCTTTTCTGCATTTCAGAATTTCATCTGAAGCAACAGATGACAATCCAAGAAAGAGCAGCAATGAACAGATCCAAGTTACTTTTTTCCTGCAAGAGGTACTCAAATAATTTCGGAAGTATTAATAAAAAATTTATTTATTATATTACCCCATGTTAGCTTGTGCTCAACCTAGAACGGTCAACAATCAACTGAATCAGTTTTAAAAGCCTAAAAAATATTTTCAAGTAATTTTGCGACAAGATTAGAAATATGTCTTGAAAGAGCGTCAGAGAAGTTTTACTCATGAAATGAATAACACGAAAAAATCATAAACAAACGAAATGATCGGAGTGAAGTTTTTAACTAAAGAATGATGAGCGTTCCAATCTTTTTCATTTTCAACTATGTCTCTCAACAACCAACACAATTGAGAAAACCTGTTTACGTGAAATGTTGTGAGCATGACACCGCGAATCATTCGCATCGCGATGTTGAACATAACAACTTCATTTAAATGCAATTTCAAGCAGTAGGTAATTAATTTAGGAAAAACCTGCAGATTAGGATTGCCATCCACTTAAATAAATCTTAAATTATTATTTCATTTTACTTTATTTAGATATTCCATAATAATGTGAAAATGTCAATATTTAATAGTTATACATATAAACTGCATTAATAGTGTTCCAAACTTCTTATCAACTTGGAAACTTGTTGTTTTTTTGACTTCTTAGAAGTCGGAAAATTTTTACACGATTTCTTGTTTGAACTTGAAAAGTTATTGGTTCAAATGATCATCCTTCGTTTCCATTTTCTTTTGACAATTGGCACTTATTGTTGAAATCATTTGCTCTATTTCAGTTTCATTTATTTCACTGTAGTTAAAGGTCTCCAAGTTGATGCGAGGATTAGAGGCAGAGTTGGGATTTGACTGACTGACTGACAGACATTGACATGTCAGTCAGTCAGTCAATCGACTTGAGCGGAACGTTTATATGAACGTTTCCCAACTAAAATGTCCAAAGATGCGAAAAAATATACACTGATTTTGTGTATATTTTAACAGATCGGAAGAGCGTCGTNATGGAAAATTGCAAGGAAAATTGTATCGAAATCAAGATGAAAAGTTTCTGTCAAGGCATGAATATGAAATTTAAAAAAAATCGAGGATGGTTTTAGGGTGTTTCTCTTTATTTATTGATTTTTATTTGTTTATGTTTATTATTATCGACTTTTTCAATTTTATTGATTTCGTTGAAAAAAAATTGGTGAGGGGGTTTAGGATTGGCTCTAAAACCTAAAACCTACAAAAAAAACCTCTTTACACCAGAGTTGGGATTTGACTGACTGACTGACTGACATTGACATGTCAGTCAGTCAGTCAATCGACTTGAGCGGAACGTTTATATGAACGTTTCCCAACTAAAATGTCCAAAGATGCGAAAAAATATACACTGATTTTGTGTATATTTTAACGCTAAATCCTTTTTTATTTAACTTGAAACAATGTATAATCACTTCAAGTTAATTTTAGACATTTAATTGAAGCCTTAAATAGCTTAATTAAACTTAAAACATTACATTAATAAAAATGGACAGGCAGACAAAAACACACCATGTGGTTATTTATTTTTGCAGAAATACTTCAGTGATTTTATCACAACATGCGGTGATTAATCACAAGATTTTGAAAATTTGTTCAGTGATTAATCACTGAATGTTGTGATATATCACTAAAATGTAAGTGATAATCACAATAGAATATAAATATTTAAAGTTTATTCTGGTGCTCATACTTACCATTAGCAAGCTTCTCGTAAATTCTTCTCTCATTTCTTGACTTGTTTTTAGCTAAAGTCATGGAAAAATATTAAAAATTATGTTAATTATATTAATAAATTGGAAATAAATTCCCCTTGAGCTACAAAAAGAAATCAAATTTCATACCCTTTATTTCTAATTAGTTTTAACGCGTTGCTCAAGAGTTTCTTATATAGGCAGCAAGGGGTCAAACCAGATTCAATTCCTACGATGAATCTTAGAGTATTATAATGAATTCTTTGTTTGGCAGTCATCCAGTATAACCTATCGAATGTGAGTTTTAGGGACAATTTTAATTTGTGAAATAGAACTTTTTGATATTTTTTTAGAATAAAATTTTTATGAGATTCCCAATTAAGTTTGTTATCTACTCTTACTCCTAGGCATTTTAATCTGCTGATTTACTCATGATTAAAATAGTAAATCAATCTCCCATGATTTGGACATCATAAAGTTTTATAATCATCAATAAACTTTTACAAGCTTGATCGCTTATCTGATTTTGAACCTATCAAAACATTAAGTCATAAAAGCATAAATAAAT